AACTCTGAATTCCAGTGCTTCTGCCACCCCCACCCCACGGTTTTATCACCCTTCAGTGAAATCCTCCTGGGCTGTGAGAAAAAGAAAAAGAAGTGCTGTTTTTCAAAAGCATAAAGAATTATCCAAAACATCTGTATTTGTTTTAAATGGAAGTGAGCACTGCCAAAAAACAACAGTTGTTTTGTCAGAACCTAGTCTGTATTTATTCCTTTGTCTTTGTTTAATTAAATTTATCCTTCAATGCTTTCCCTTGGGGCGGTACAGATCATTAGTGGCTATAAATCGCCAGCGTTCTAGAAACAGTATGAAGAGACAACAGCCACGAAGCCAACTGGCAAGCTTGCTGTTTGTGGGGCTTTTCTTCGGGAATTCAAGCCGTGATCCTGTTCCGACCACACTTAGCACCCCCACATAGCATCCGAGGGGACCAAGGACAGCAATAATTCTCAGATTTGTTCAAAGGAGGAAACTGAGCTTGGTGGACTCAGTTAATAAAGGGAGGGCTGACTTCTGGGTCTGGGCACCTTTCTCTCGGAGGATTGTGAGGACTTTTTATCCAGTAGGTCCAAGGACGTTCAACCTGGCTGCTCACTGGAGTTGTCTGGGAGCTGCTTGCATCCCCCACCCTCCAACAGTCCGATTTAGGGAAGTAGGGGGCAGGGGTGCTGGGCATCCGAATGTTCAAAGGGGCCCCAGATGGTGCTCAAGGGCAGTGGGGGCTGGGCACTGCTGCTTCTGTAGAGGAGCCTTGCAGTTGTTGGGTGTCCAGCCCTGTTCTGAAAGGGACAAGCATTTCATTGCCTCTTTCTACCTACCCTGTGGGGGGAAGTCTTCTGGAGAAAAGATCATTGCTGCAAGGTCCTGGTTCATTGTTTTTGAAATGCTAAATTCAAAGGAATTCTTTTGTAAGGCACTGAGTTTTTGCATTGTTATGAAAGTTCTTGTTACAAACTCCTGTTAGAAAATTTGAAAACAGATAGTTATAAATAAGAGACTAAAAGTCACCAGTCCTCCCTAAACCACTGCTAGGCAGGTTCCTGCTGGACACAGTGGGGGCTGGGGGGCGGTGTGCGGGCCCTGCAGAAGAGCGGCTCAAGTGGAGAAAGGGGAGGGAGGACCCAGATAGAGAAGCTCCTGTCCCCTGTCTCCAAAGATGGGCTTGGCGTTTGGCGGGGGTAGGTTGGTCCAGAGTGCTGGGGCACCATTTTCCAGCCATCAAGGCTTTGTGCTGGGAAGCTCCCCTCCCCATTAGGGAGCGCAGAGTCTCGCAAGGGAGACACAGTAAAGACATCACTGCACAAAGGCCTAGGTGACTGACATGGTGATGCATGCCCAGAGGGAAAAGCACAGGGGTGCACTGACAGCTGGTAGGTGAAGCCTAAAGCTCTGAAGAACAGTTGAAGGTCCTCATTTCAAGAGGTTAATTTTCCCATCAATTCAAGCAAACCAAAGCTCTTCAGCCTGAAATTTGGAAAACTGCAGCTGTTCCCCAAAAGAGCAACAGTCTCCATTGAACTGTGCTGGAAGTCCTTTTCTTGCCGGTGGAAATCAGGCTGTCCCTCGGGATTGCAAGAGAAGCATTTCATGGACCCAAGCACAGGAGATTGTGGTGTGGCAAGATTTATTTGGGTGGAAACGGAAGCTGCCACCTGCGTTTTCTGTGTCCCATCTCTGTCCACCCTGCCATGGAAAAAGTCCAGCCCTGTCTTCAGCAAGGCCAACACAAAGGCCAGCATCCAGAGTTTCTGTTTCATATTAAAGCCTAGTCCTTTAGGGCCTGTGCGATCTACTGAGGGTTGATTGGCTGCTAGACCCACATAGTCATGTGTGTTCTCTGGCGAGAGAGAGAGAGAGAGAGAGAGAGAGAAAGAGAGAAAGAGAGAGAGAGAACGCACGCATGTGAACAAATAGGCAAGGGTATTACTGGGTGTGTGAGATATCTCTCTCTCTCTCTCTCTCTCTCTCTCTCTCTCTCTCTGTTCCCCTGGGATTAGGACCAGGAACTTTTTTTTTCAAAAATAACAAATCAGCTTCCTAAAGGTTTGTGGGCTTCTGATGGATCCAACCCTTAACCAGTGACCCCTTTCCCAGATTAGACTGACTATCCTCTGTGGTCAGACACATCCTCCTGTGCCATTTTGACTTCTGTGCGTGTATGTGCTTCCCTGGCCCTGCTCCCCCGCCAAAATCCAGTGTTAATCCCCTCTGGTTCGGTGGGGGGGGCGGGGATGCAGAGATCCCCTGGAGTGTGTGAATGCAGCTTCCTGATGAAACAAACAGGCTTATGCTCCCTGGTTGATTATGCTTAACAATGTCCAATTCCCTTTGCTTCCTTTCTTATTAATAATTAGCTATTAATGGTAACACTTTCCATTTCCCAGAGCTGAGAGCAACTGTGATTTTGAGATTTATGCCTCTAAAGCATAACAGGTGAAACCACCTGTCTTCTATGGTAAGGAATTGACCTTGTGTTGTCCACATTGCCTGCTGAATGGAGTTCAGAGCTCTCAGCCTACAATCAGGCCCTCTGCCACCTGGTGTCAATTGTCCTTCTGACCCTCCCTTCTGCTACTGCCCTTGGACTTCCTGGAGTGAAATTCAGCTACCACACCTGTCCTCTCTCCTCCATTTCTGTAGTTACTCACACAGTCCCTCAGTCTGGGGCCACATCCCTCTCTCCATTCTCTCGTGCTTCCGTGCCAGCCGGTTCAGACCCACTTTTGACTGGCAGTAACTCCTCCCCTCTCTGAACTCCTATTATATTGTCAGTGTCTTGCTTATGGATTTCTAGCATATTTTATCTTGTATTTTAGTTACTTAGGGTGCATCTGATAGCCACTCTGGCCTTTCCAGTTCTCAGATGGGCTGGTTTATTCCACCTCAGGACTTTTGTGTTGGCAGCCCTTTCAGTCAGGAACGCTCCTCCTAGAGCTTCATATTACTAACCCTTAAAACACAAGCTGTGTGATTACAGGAAGCCCGTCGTCTCTTTGGTTCACCGCTATATCCCCTGTGCCTGGGACAAAGTACGTGCTTCATTTATTGGATAAATGAAGAATAGCCTGTAATTCCAATTTTCTTTAGGTCTCTGGCCTAGGCTTGTAACTGTAGATTTTGTTATTCTTCAGTTATTCACTATTAATTTTTGCATGAGCTGAAGGGGTTTTTTTTTTTTTTTTTTGTTACTGGTGTTTTCCTTATATCTAAATTCCTTCCTTATATCTAATTTCCTTATATCCCTGGAAGTCTTAGTTGGATTTCCCAATTGGAAATCTAAGATACAAATATCTTAAAGATATCTATAAGAGATAAAGGACTTTGCATCTAAAATTTTTGAGTACTTTATTGATTAGGGAATGAAACTACTTCTTTTAGCATTTTAAAACCAGAATCCTGCCCTGGCTGGTGTGGCTCAATGGACTGATCTCCAGCCTGTGGACCGAAAGTTTGCAGGTTCGCAATCAGGGTACCTGCCTGGGTTGCAGGCCAGGTCCTCAGTTAGGGGCGTGCAAGAAGTAGCCCATCGATGTTTTTCTCACACATCGATGTTTCTCTCCCTCACTTTGTCCTTTTCTTCCCTTCTCTCTAAAAATAAATAAATAAAAAAATCTTTTTTAAAAAACCAAATAACCAGAATCCTTAATTGTGAAATGTTAGACTTAAGTATTTTTAATGTTATGTTATAGATTCTATTTTTTAATTATATAATGAATTTAATAGGTGACAAATTAATCAGCTTTTATCTTTTTGTCAATTTGGTATTTTATATTTATCTAAAAGCATAATAAATTATAAAACTCAAAGACCTGGGAAATTACACTGAAGTATAGCTATTGAATTCAGAGATTAATCAAGCTTTCTAGTTCACAGAGTTTTTAACCATAGCTGACATATTAATGTTAGAAAATTATTTTTAATGTATTCAATCCCTTTAATGCTCTCTGATTTTTCTCCAACTTTAATGGTGAAGTTACTGGAAGAGCTCGTTATGAATCCAAACCATTCTCCTTGCTGTGAAATGTCAGCCTGTTTCTGCAAAGGAGAGACTGAATCAGTGATAGAGTGAAAATGCCTTTAACCTTTTCATCCTCTGATATATTCTTAGTCCCACTACCTTCAGTGCGTTTCTGTAGTTCATTCTTACATTGCATTTGAATAAAAAGCCAGGACTCAGCGCTTCGTAGACATAGGATAAATATTTGACCAAAATAGGACCAACCACAAATAGCCATACATCCAGTTTCTCCTTAGTAATCTTTGTTACCATCCTAACCTCCTCTGGCTTCCCATTTTCCTCATTTGTTCTGGGATGAATGCATAGAGTGCGAAAAGCATTTTCAAAGATCTTTTTGGTAGACACGTGGAATGAGGAGGAGTATGTCCAAAGGGGCTGGTGCAGGCTTGGGAATTAGGGGCTACTCCTAGACCTGCTATGTTTTTGGTGGAGTAGCAGGCCTTTCCTCTGTGCCCCTCTCTGCTTCCTCATCTGCAAAATGTCAAAGCCAGCGCCAGATCGCTTCTGTAAAAATTGCTGAGACTGACTACAAAGCATTTTGGTTCTCGAAGTGTAGGAATGGTATTTGATGCAAACAAGTGCAAATGCCTGTTCATGTAACTCACAGTTCACGCCAAATGTTTTCGGAGCACTTTCACTGACACAGGAAAATAAAAGCTGGTGTGAGTTTTAAATTATTTCATGCATCGAATAGAGGCAAATGGCTTCAACTTTGAAAATATGTATGTGTGTCTGTATGTGAAGTCACCAAACTGTTAACAGCAGTGGCCCCTGGGTGGCAGGATTACTGGCGGGAGGCTTACAGGGAGGTTTTCTTCTGTAGGTTTTTCTGTGTTTCCTAAGTTTTCTACTGTGATCCCATATCAATGCTTAGAATGTTTTCAAAAGCTCTTTCAGCAGAAGCTGTAAGGTTGTTGGCTGCACGGCCCTGTGCTGAGGGTCGCCTCCTTCAGCGCTGCGTTCTAATGGCGTGCTTTTGTCTCAGTCCAGGATCTGTGTGCGGCGGAGGACCACGGCTGTGAGCAGCTCTGTGTGAACGTGCTGGGCTCCTTCGTCTGCCAGTGCTACAGCGGCTACGCCCTAGCGGAGGACGGGAAAAAGTGTGTGGGTGAGTATCGCCCCCAGCGTCGCTTAGGGAGAAATCACTGGGAGGAGGGGGAGGGAGGCCCTGCCCTCCCCCCAGCATATCCAATTGCTCTCCTTTGAGCTTTAACAAAGTGCTCAGTCCTCTGGTCTAGTCGTTCAAACTGGAATTTTAAAGACTTCAATTATGGCTGAGATTAGCATTTTCTCATTCTGGGTCCTCAGCAAAAGGCATATTTATGATAATCTGTGTAAATTTAATTGTCTGTTACTGCGGTCCTTGAAAAGGACTGGGCAGATTTTCAGCAAGTGGAAACGTAAGGGTATGTTCGGGACTTAAATGTAGCTGATGTGTCACATACATAAAGCTCACCTGGTGACAGTGCCTCCAAGACACGGCAGCCTTCCTGCTAAGTATTGGACCTGCCCTTCAGTGACAGGCCAACAGACTGCCAGGTGTAGAAGCCCAGCCACTGTAATAAGACACCATGGCCAGAGAAAATGAAAAGTAGCCTCAAATAGAGGCTCCAGCTATGGGGTGTCAAGGGCAGTGTGTGGAACCTTCAATCAGTTGAGCAGAGTTCCACTTGGGTGACTCCACAACCTGGTGAGAGGTAGGAGGAGGGGGGCAACATTTGGTTTCTACAGTGATGGGAAATGGTTCTCTTCAGCAGCTGCAGAGCAGGCTAGCAAATCCCTACTGGCACCTCCCAGTGTGTCTGCAAAGCCCTTCACACATACACAGCCTTATCCTCCCACGAACAAACAGTGCCTGGCAAATAGCTGGTGTTAAATAAACTGAATTGAAAACTTCTGAAAATCTGGAAGGAAAAGAAGGAAAAGGTCCCCACTGATATGAGAATTGGAACCAACATTTTCTGACTCTAAATCCTTCATTTTCTCTTCCGTATCCCATTATGTCTTGCTTCCCACAACATAGTGAATGATTTTTTTTTTTTTTTTTTTTTTTTGGCACATAGAATATACATTATCCAGCTACCTTGATTTCAGGTAAAGATGTGGAAGTAAAAAGCAGCAAAACATAAAGTGGAGCTTACGGCCTGCTCCTTGCAGACGAGGGGTGAGAGTACCGTAGGTTGGTGAGTTCGCTGTCACACACTGACGGGGATGAAAACCTCCCTCATTAGAGATCCATAAATGGAATTGGTCTCCTGAGCATCAGAGCTACTTTTTTTCCTTCCTTAATCTGCTGGTGGTGACGATGATAGGTGGCAGGGTACCATATCCACTAACACTGGCCAAAAGAAGACAACACAGTAAACACCCACTCATGTTTTTTGCTTCATTAATTTTTATTATGTAAGTAATACACTTCCGTTAAGGAACTTAAATGGATGAGACAATCACTAATAGTGTGTTGTATTATCTGTTGGACTCTTCCCCCATGTAAATATATACCATCAATACATTTTTTTAATGTTTAACAAAATGGGGTCATGCTATCGGTTTTGTTTTACATATACTTTTTCCCTTACCAGTCGTTGAATGAGTAGAAACTTTGAGTGCTACAGGGTCAGAAGGACACCAGGCCATTGAGAATAAGACCCATGGATGAGCTTTAGCAAACAGGCTGAGGGAAGGGACAGGGAGAGCCCGATCACAGTGAGTTGGTAGGACGGGGGCAGCGAGGGCCATGCTGGGGCGGGAGGGCTGCCTCGGCCCTTGGGACACTGGAGAGCAGTGAGGGACCCAGTAGTCTGAGTGTTGCCAAATAATTGCTTGGTTGTCCCTGTATAGTAGAGAATCTTTGTGTCTCAAAGGGTTTTGCTGTTACTTCTGGAATTTGACGTTTATTGGAGAGCAAGAAGCATGAAGTTGATGCTGTGGTTGCCAGGGAGATGTTGTGGGCTGTGTTTATTAGAGATGGTATTTCTCTTGCTGCTGTTATCAGCATCTAAGAATGTCTTCCTTTCCTCTGAGGGGCAGTCAAACCGAAGAGTGGTAAAGTGGGAGGGACTATGTGTGAGCCAGGTCTTATCCATCAGGTATGCCTGTCATCTTCCTTCTCAACCAGGAGCGTGACCTGTTAGGGGTTGGGACTGAGATGGTTAAACAATAGTGGACCTTTGTTGACAGTGGTCTTGGTTAGAGACTGAACTAATTCTCAAAAGTTTAGTTGCTGCTCGATGGGGCTGTACTGAGCCCAAAGCAAATGATAGAGGTAATAGAAGCTACAGAAGGCCAAAGAAAAGGGACATCCTAAGGGCTAGGGCGGGGAAGATCTGGGCAAGGAAGGAAGGGTAGCAAGTGGACAGATGTCCAAGGCAAAGGGAGACATGAAGGACAACGATGGTGTGGAGGTGGCAGTGCTCTCAGAGTTTGGGGGCTGAGGCTGGGCTAGGAGGGGTAAGCCGTGCTCCCGAGAGCTGGTAGGTCAGGAAGAGACTCTCAGGGAGGACACCAAATTGAAAGCTAAACAGGCAGCTTAACCTGAGCATGTCAATCTGAAGGGACTTGTCAAAGATGAAGACCCCTAGCTTTCAGTCTTAGAGCAGGAAATTAGAGAAGAGAGTAAAGGCTGGTAGGAATCTTATAATAATCCCATTAGCAGCTGGTCTGTGTGGCTTGTGTGTAGCTGGGCAGGGCACATTAAAAATATGGTGACCATAATTCCCAGTTAATCCACGATGGTCTCAGTTTATGTTGGCTCCATTCTCCATGGCACTCCCTTTCACTTTCAAAGGGGTTCCAGGTTGACAAAAAATGATATGATCATGCTGGTTAAGGTTCGTAAACTTGACTTAAACAGTTGAGAAGACCAGCTGTGTTGAAGCAGAGAATTCCTGCAGGTAGGAGGTTAAGTTTCAGATACCAGGAGGAACACCAGACTGTTCAGGGCTTTGAAAATCCATCCAAGAGTCTGGACTTTACCTGTGAAAAAGAGCTATTGCTGAAGGACTTACATTGGGGAGCCACAAACGCAAAGCCTCATCTTGGGAAACAACCTTGTGGTAAACCGAGGGATGGGTTCCAGGAGAAGGATGGTGAGGGATGGAAAAGCCGACTGGGAGACTATGGTCATGATCAGATGAGAAGGGACAAGAGCCAGGGTTTGAGTGGTGACTGCAGGAGTGGAGAGGGAAGGAGTAAAGGACGAAAGAATGTGCTATAAATAAAGGGGGGAAGAAAGAGTCACAAGAGACTGCTGAGTTTGAGCTTCCACGACTCTGAAAGTGAGGGCAACAGTGAAGGAAGAAGGACGGGGACAGATTTTTAGGAACGGCAATGAGTAGTTTTAGACAAGGTGAGTCTGAAGTTGAGGTGGGTCACCAACAGGGACATGTTGAGAGGGAGCAGAAGCAGCACTCACCCGATGGGCAGAGGTTAGAACCAATGACACAGACAGGGAGCAGCGTAGTCCCTTTTGTTCTTCCACACTTTAATTTCCATGTGCTTTTCATTTTAAATGTTTACGTGTTTTCGTTTTGAGGGCATCTGGACCTTCAACAGAGTAAGTCCTGGGCTCAAATCCAGTTCTGCTACTTGCTAGTCCTGTGTCTTGGCATAACCCCTTTAACGTCTGCACTTTTCTCATCTGTAATGTAGAGTAAGGAGATTTTGTGGGATTAGATAAGAGAATGAGTAAAGCTCCTAATTCACAGCAGGCAATTACTGCTACTACTACTCTACAAATTATTATCGTCATTTCCTGGATATCTGAAGTGTAGAGTGAGGAGAGAGTGAAGGTCTGAGCCTTGGGTTGTAACCACATGTTGGGAGCAGAAGGGAAAAGCAGGGGCAGGAAAAATCTCTGTGAAGGGATGGCCTAAGGTGGGGAGGGGAGTGAAGGGGTAAGGGAGGGAGAATGAGAAGAGTCATGGAGTGTGGTGGGCATGGCTATTTCTAGGCCAGGTCAATATTAATGGCACATGCCAACAAGGCCAAAGGGAACAGAACTTAAAAAACCATCAAGTTGGGTAATTGATTCATCTCAGCAAACATTTCAGAACTCTCTGCCAGACACTCTGCTAGGCATCAGGGGCACAAAGACAACCAGGGGACCACTGACAATGATCAACGGGGGCAGCTTTCAAGGAGTAGGAAGTAAGTGGTGAGGAAGTAGGGACAGCAAATCTCAATATTCACTTAAAGATGTTCAGTAGAGATTCTCCGTGTTCAGCTATTGCTGAATGGACGCAATGAGCTTTCAGTTCCAGCACTTCATGGCAGTGGTTCTAGTACTTTGACTTATCCCATAATCTTGACTGTGACCTCTGTGGAAATTCAATTCTTAGCCAGACTCAGGGTTTATAGACAACGTCTTGACACTTTTGAGTTGGAAGGATGTTAAATTTGAGTGCCAGTGTCTCTTCTCCCTAACTGCTCATCTCACTGTGGCCAGTACTAAATTTATCAATGCTTGCACATTCTGCTGATCAAGGGTGGATTATTGACTAAGGTCCTCCTTTTGCTCTATTTGAGTCCCTGTGTTTGTCATTCATCAGCTGCCACAAAAGCTATATTAATTTCTTTTCTTTATTTTAAAGATTTTATTTATTTTTTGAGACATGGGAAAGAGAGGAAGAGAAACATCAGTGTGAGAGAGAAACATTGATCAGTTGCCTCTTGCACACGCCCAGACCAGGGACCAAACCCGCAACCCAGGCATGTGCCCTGACTGGAAATCGCACTGGCGACCTTTTGCTTTGCAATCTCATGCCCAACCAACTCAGCTACACAGGTCAGGGCAAGCTGTGTTAATTTCTATCCCAAAGTATACATTTTGAAAATATTTTTAAAATTATTTTTAATTACAGTTGACATACAATATTATGTATGTTTTAAGTGTACAACATAGCGATTCAACATTTATATACCTTATGAAGTGATCACCATAATAAGTCTAGTAACCATCTGTCACTGTGACACTATACATTTTTCAAAAGGTGTTTATATCTTTGAGGGTGAATTTTCTGCTCTGTGTGCTCAGCGGCTGTTTACTGACAGCCTTGTCTCTCAGGGTAACTTTGGTCCTGATTTGTATCTTATCTACCCAGGCAGACTGGAAACCCTTGAAGGCAGAGGCCATTTGTACTTTTCATGTTTCAATAAGTAGACTTGCCATATTTTTTTTTTGAATCATTGACTGAAGTTGAGCAATTGATTCCAATCTCAAGCATTTTTTTAAGTCTTTTCTCCTTGATGGGATTTTAAATTACAAGCTTTTTTTTTTTATTAATACAGAAAAAGTCAGTACAGATGGCTATAAAGTCAAAACCTGAAAGTTGCTCCTCCCCAGTTTTGCTGCCTCGGTAGTACGTGCTGAGAGCTTGATTTCTCCTTCCTGTCTTTTTTCTAAGATGTCTTACAGGTGGTATTTGCTAGTTATTACCATCCAGGGTTTAGCACATGCCTGACGCATAGTAATTGCCAAATAAATGATTGTGGAACAAAAGAATAGCATTAAGGTATCCATTTCCCCCCAAATTAAACCTTATCTGATTAGGGAGGCACTGTGATAAGAATAAAAACTACATTTTTGAATATTACTAAGTACTAGGACCTGTTTGACTATTTTTTGTATAATTGTACTAGCTCTCTGAGGTAAGTACTATTGTTATTTGCATTTTGCAAGTCTCTTAACCTCTCTATGTTCCAGTCATTTCATCTGTAAATTGAAGATGACAATAATACCTATCTCGAAGTGCTGTTGTGAGGATTAAATGAGTTAATATATGTCAAGCACCTACAACAGTCTGATATATGGGCCATTGCTAAACATTAGTTGAATCTGAATTTCTCTATCCTTTATGAATTTTTGTCTTATAAATGCTTGCATTTAATAATATGTCAAGTGTCTGGTACATTTAAAAAATCATATTGAGGTCCATACTCAGAATGATAAATAGCATGGAAAGTTAGCACGGCATTACTGCCAGCTTCAGAGTTGTTCTTCTACATCAGTTACCCTCAGTGAGGGGGAGATGGTTGATATTTAAGTTGGGGACAATGGGTGGGAAGATCGATTTTTACATTAAAAGGTCAGATTTTTAATTCATCAGCTAATTCCTCACATTTGGAGCATGATCTCCTCCACCCCCAAGATGTTAAGTATTAGATGTCTCCCTATATTATTCTGTTAAGGCTGCCATAACCGTATACCACAGACTGAGTGGCTTAAACGGAAATTTATTTTCTTACACTTCTGGAAGCTAGAAGTCCAAGATCAAGGTGTCAGCGGTTTGGTTTCTACTGAGGGTCTCTCTCCTTGACCTGGAGGTGGCTGCCCTCTTGCTCCCTCTTACCTGGTCTTTCCTCTGAGTCCACACTCCCTGATGTCTCTTTTTATGTCCAAATTTTCTCTCCTTAGAAGGGTAGCAATCAGATTGGGCTAGGACCCACCCTAATGGTTTCATCTTAACTTAATCATAACTTTAAAGGTCCTATCTCCAAATACAGTCACATCCTGAACAGTTGGGGCTTAGGATTTTATCATAGGAATTTGGAGAGGGGGACATACAGTTCAGCTCACAGTACTTGCCTGTTGTGACGAAAATCAGTAAGAAACCTTCTCTGAGTTTAAAAATTCTGCATATAGAAATTCAGGTGTGCCTTGGGGAGGAGAGGTTTTGTGAATCAGACTCTGTTTGTGTGTCTAATACATACTTAGCAAATAAATTCGTTCTACCATTTCTCTAAATGATGAGTTTGGTTTTTCTTACTCTGTCAACAAACTTTGAAACCCAAATGCTCCTCTCTAAAATACCCTGTTTCTGCTAAAGCCACCCCCTTGTAGGCTGATCCCTGCTGAGAAAACTTTGGAATGTGACCATATTTTAAATCAGAGCCTGTCGATCTTAGATTTTATTACCTTGCACCAAAGTATTATCCTTGAAGACAGCTGCGCAATTTGTCACATATTAGGCAGAGGCTGACCACGTTGAAACTGCCTTCGGTGCTGAGATTTTAGTCGTTTGTGACCTTCAGGGCTGAAGAACTCCAGCCAGGGAGTTACAGTAGTGCCCTGTGTCCGTGGTTTTGCCTTCCACGGTTCCAGTTACCCGCTGTCAACCATGGCCTGAAATGTTAAATGGAAAATTTCAGAAATATGCAATTCATAAATTTTAAATTGCATGCCATTCTGAGTAGCTATAAAACCTTGAGTCATCACGTTCGTTTCTGCCTGGGACATGAATCGTCCCTTTGTTCCTCGTATCCATGCTGGATTTGCAAATCTCCCATTAGTCTCTTAGTGACCATGCTGCCAGGAGGTCAGGAATACCCCTCCGCCGTGTCACCATGCCTACGTCGTCCGTCTCACTTCATCGCACATACAGGTACTGCATCACAGAGCATCCCAAGGGTAGAGTGCAGTAAGATATTTTGAGAGAGACCACATTCACGTAACTTTTATTATAGTATATATCGTTATAATTGTTTTATTTTGTTATTAGTTATCGTTAATCTCTTACTGTGTCTAATTTATACATTAAATTTTATTATAGTTATGTACATATAAGAGAAAACATAATATACGAGGTCTGTCCATAAGGTTTCCAGCCATGTAATATGAAAAATAGAGACCTTTATTGAAGAAGATACAAGAAACGCTGTACATAGGACAAATATGCCTCAGTCCCCTTCAAACCTCCCAAAATTCTCCGCATCACCAACAGCAGCCCCATCGTAGTTTCCTGAATCTCATCGATGGTCTGAAATCTCCTCCCTTTCAAAGGTGATTTTAGTTTTCAGAAAAGCCAGAAGTCACAGGGCACCAAATCTGGGCTGTATGGGGGCTGAGTCACCCGGGTGATTTGATGTTTCACCACAAACTCTGCATGAGATGTGATGCATGACCGGGTGCGTTGTTGTAATGAAGCTGGCAATCATCAGTCACCCAAAACTGAATCATCTGAATAGTTTCTACAGGGGATTGTTCAAGCTTAATAAAAAATTTGATGCAGATTCATTGTTCTACTCACTCAATCATTTTGAATGCAATGGCCAAACAGTACACATGCTCACTCTATGGCATCTGTCGTCTCCCCTGACTAATACAGTGAAGTCATCACTGTTCACACCTGCACATTCCAGCCGACTCTCCTTGGCTGCCAGGTTACACTGATGTCACACAAACCGTCCTCGTTATATTAACAATGGTTGGACTTTGTCCGGACAGACCTTGTACATGGGACTCCGGTACTATCAGCAATTTTAAGCAGTCACTGGGGATCTTGGAATGTATCCCCTGTGGATCAGGGGGGCTACTGGTACTCTTTCTGTTTGTAAAAGGAGAGTGTAGAAATTTCAGAGAAAATGGCCAAAAAAAAGATTTCGTTGACGTAGATGAGGACTTTGAATAACAGAGGCATCTCTGGGGGTCATACACATATATCACCTTCATTCATCTGCCCCCTAAACTGGGCCTCCCTTTTCACAAGCACTATTTTGCAACCAAGGAAGTTATGCAAAGAACTCAAAACATGCATCCAAGGATGTCAGAGTTGAATGGTCTGGAACTCTCTTGGCCTTAAAAAGCTTTTAGGTTCACGCGCCTGAAAGTTGGCTGCTCTGCATTTAACACTGTACTGATGGTCTCATCTGCTGTCCCCAGCGAGCGGCCCTGAGGTCAAGGTGGGATTTCACACATTGGGGTTTTTCCAGGCTGGGGTCTCAGGCCAGGATCCAGGAATGCCTGGATCCCACCTTGCCAATTTCTCCTCTCCCTGTGGCTTCCCAGAGGCTGTGCACACAAAAAGCAAAATGAACATGAGAAATCAAAGTCCCAGAGAAGGCTTCTTATCCTGTGGTTGGTTGATTGATGAAAAATGTCATTCAAAGAGCTGAAACATAAGAAACATATAAACCTACCTTAACCATTTTATTTACAACACATAAGTGTACTTTTAATTAAAAGGATTGATTGATCAGGAGTTGGTTAAGTGAAGGCCAATTAAAAGAGCTTCTTCTGTACAACTGTATTAATACCTGATCCAACATTGTATACATTGGATGTTTTCCAGAGCATTCTGGAAGAAGGTGCGTTTGAAGTTTGTGCCTTAGACTTTAGCCCTAACCACAACCTCCACCCTCTCCTCATCCTGACATGCGGCCCTCTCCCAGGTATCCTCTGGGCTCGTGCCTCCTTTATGGCTCTGCCCAACTGCCACCTTCTCGGCGAGGCCTTTCCTGACACTTTTGTTACATCATGCCCTTCCTCCCACATCCCCATAGTCCCTATTCCTTTTCACCATTTTTATTTTTCTCTCGAACGCTCTTTGCCTTCTAAGAGCCTACACTATTTATTTATCTTATTTTCTGTCCTCCACCACGACCATCCAAACATGAGCTCCTTGAGGACTGAAATTTTGGTCTGATTGTTGCTGTATCCTTAACACCTAAAACAGGGCCAGGCCCAGGGTCAATGCTCAGTAAATACCTGCAGAATTAAAGAGGAATAAGCCAGTGCATTTTCTCATAAATTACTAACCCATTTGCCCTTAGTAAATTTTATCTTATTTTCCAGAATTTCTTTTGTCATGGTAAATTTTGTAGTTCACATTCCCCTTTTTTCAATTTGTTTGGTCACATTTCCGGAGTGAACACTGCCAAATGTCCTTCCCAAATTTTTAACAACTGAGAACGCTGCCCACCCTCAGTAACTCTGTTTCCATGTGGCCTTGTCCCTGCAGATTTTACCTTGTGTCTATCTGTGCAGTTTGATAGCTGTAAGTGCACCTTGTGATCATCTTGGTTTGCATTTCTTTACCTTTTAAATACAATGGTTTATATGTTCTTTCATTTATCTTCTGATACAAATTGCTTGATCTAGGCTCCTGGTTTTTCTGTTTGCAGGAGAGGGGCCTTGAGTTCACATTTATTTATTCATACTCTTTTTGGGTATGTTTGGGGGCAACAATATTAGTCCCTATTTATATTTATTGTAAGTGTGCTTCCATTCTACCATTCCCTTCACCTCAGTTTGTGTTTCTGCTGAAACCCTGCGTTTTAATCTTTACAGCTGTGGACTACTGCGCCTCAGAAAACCACGGCTGCGAACACGAGTGTGTGAATGCCGATGGCTCCTACTTTTGCCGGTGCCCCAAAGGATTTTCCTTGAATCCAGATAAAAAAACATGCACAAGTAAGTCACAAACAACAATGAAAAAAACTTATTTTTGGATGGTATTGCTATGGGCACACTGGCCACGGAAATCTCCCAAGACTGGCGAAGCACAGGATGATGTACAAAGGGGTCTAGGACCTTCTGCCTCTATTCCTCCTTTGTCGGGTCTTTCTTGATTTGCACTAAGACTGTAGCTCACTCTGCCTCATGTCATCCTTCAAGGCATATACTGAAGGAGTTTTTTTTTTTTAAAATCAGAAACCTTAGGAGAGAGTCTTCTTCCAGCATTTGCTGAGCACGCTGACAGACTATCTTACCTCATGCTGATTCAGCCTTGCCGTGCCAGTCAGTAATAATGGGGCTTAAGAAATACTTTCATTGAAGCTTTGTGGCTTGTGGGCTTCAGCTCTGACTCCACACAAGTGCAGGCAAAATCGCTGAGCCAAAAGGAGTTCAGTGTGGTTGTTCCGGGTCGGGGAGGGGAGCTTGCAGAGAACTCTTCGTTTTCTTGTTTCAGCTACATAGTTCTATTTGATTTGAACTATACACACACAAATCAGAATTCATTTGAGCCTCCAAAATCTGACCATAAAAACCTAAAAACTGAAGGTGATCTCTAGTTTACGAAAGAGTTCCAAAAGCATTCTTTTAAATGTAAAGGCATGTCACAGCACTTAAGGAATTGTGTATGAATTATTAAACTCCTACAGAGAGGTTTGCTTGAGAGAAGCTAATTTTTAAAGTATTAGGGCCCAGCATTTTTAAAAAATGAAGTTGAATAGCAATTTAAAATAAGTCATCATGAAAACAAACATCAATGAAAAAATAGGATTTCATTCATAAAAATTTCATGCACCCGTAATCTTTCTAAAATACATCTATAATGTGAAGCAGGACATACCTGCACAGTGTTTTTTTAAACCATCCCCCCAAACTCCTGAAACATAAACTTCCTTGCCAACCCCTAAATATCAACAGCTTACAAACAGCAGAGCTGGAGACAGGAGTGGAGGATGGAACTGTAAGGGGCACATTAAATCAAAACATACATTTCTGGAGCCCTAACCATGTGCCATAGCAGTGAATAAAGCAAGGTCCTTCCTAGAGGAAGTGAGATCTTTGCTGAGTCTTGAAAGCAGAGCCATCAGTCACCAAGTTAAAAAAAGATGAGCCAGGGTAGCCAGGGAGGAAAGATGTGCAAAGATATAAGCCAAACAGACGTATATGGACACCGGCACATGACTGGCATACAGTTGTTTATTGTGAGAATAAGGAAATGGGGGAATGGACAACTCTGTTCCTGGTCTCCCTTCCCTTCTGAATACTCTGAACTATAAACCAGCAGCCTGCACTGTGGTAATGCCTTTGGAATTATGGTTGCTGGTCTGATGAGTCAGTTCTCTCCACCAAAGGGGCAGCCCGGGCCTTAGTTCAAATCCCAGCTCCACTCTTTTCATTGGATGATCTTACGCCTCAGTTTCCTCAACTGTAATAGAAGATGATAACATTGCCTACTTCATAGCATTGTCTTGAAGACTAAATGAGCTAGTCCATAGAAACCATTTAGCAAATTGCCTGGTGCCAAGCGGATTCTTTTAAGGGATGATACTGGCTTCAAAGACTTTAAATTGGTACTTATTGAGCATATACCATGAGCCTGAGCTAAGTTTAACTGTGCATTAAAAAATCAAAGACTCAGCCCCAGGCTTCCACTGGAAGCTGGTTGGGGACACAAGTCACACAGCAGCTCGGTCACCACACACAATGCTGAACAACTGACGGCTCTCAGTGTGATGTAGGCGAGACCCCCAACAGGAGCTAAGGGAAGGAAGGGGCCGGCAGGACCAGAACAGGTGGGGATGCTGCGTGGAGGAAAGCACACGCCCTGTCCAGTCTCCTTCCTGCCTGGACAGATTCCTTCCCTGGCTGAGGCCACCTGATCTCCTCCTCCCGCCCCAGTCCCCCGCACTCACCATCACCCCCACACTCTGGCCCACATGTCTCCTACCCCAGAATCTCTTGGGATGTGGAGAATTACAAGCCCCAAGACGGTGCAGGCCAGGGGACCCTGGGAGTAGATACTACAGGGTGGGGGCCGGAGAAGAGGTCTGGCTGGGAGTCAGGGGCGGGGCTGCTCCCGCTGCGAGGAGTCCCGGATGAGCCGTTGCAGCCCAGCGGCTCAGCAGTCTCGGGCGCAGAGTGAAGACCCGGACACGGGCCACCCTGCTGCGTGGGCAGAGACGAGTCCCGGGCACTCAGAGAGGCCTGGGTGGGCAGCACCAGGGAGACGTGTCCCTTAGAAGAAGGACCCCCTTCCCACCACGTTTGGAAGCAGGGCAGGGAGCCAGACCTCAGGAGGGGACAGGTAAGAGAAAGGAGACACTGGACTACTTGGAAAGCCGTGGGAGTAAGAAATAAAGCAAAAGCCGATTGTAAGAACCAAGACACTTGACAGTGCTCCAGATCCCGGTGGGGACCAAGTAAAAGGACGGAAAGACGGGATGGAGGTTGAAGCTCAGAATCAAGGCAGACATCCTGTTAGTGATAAACGTGATGCCACAACAGTTTCCAGCCAAGTCAGCCTGGCTGCTGCTGCGATGTTAAAAGATACATTTTTAAAAAGTTTCTCACTTCTCATAAACTTGAAAAAAATAACAAAAGATCCTTAGTTTCTTAAATTTCAGTCTCTATTTTTACCTAAAAGTATATTTGAAAGCTAATCCAATTAGTAAGTGTGCAGATGTTGTCTAATGAAATGTCAGGCTAGTCAGCGTAACATACTGAGCATGATTAATTTATGATTAAGCCAAAATGTACATAATAGAGTTTTATGTTCCCCCCAAAAATTTCATTTAAAATATGTAAGTAATGTCCAAAAGAGCATCACCTTTTATATCACTTCCTTACCCTAAAACAACCCACCCAAATGTATATGAATATTTTCTGGAGGGGAAAGGATAGAACCATGTAGGTACAGTACCATCAGTTTGCAAAATGTGGCAAGGCTTTTTTTTATTGTGGTAAAATATACGTAACATAACATTTACCACTGTAATTTTTAAAATGTACTGTTCAGTGGCCTTAAGGACATTCACGTTGTTGTGCAACCATTATCACCATTCAGCTCCAGGACTTTTTTATTTCCCTAAACTAAGACTCTGTGCCCATTAAATAATAACTCTCCCTTCCCCTCTCCTTTCCCTGCTCCTGGCAACCACCATTCTATTTTCTGACTCTATGAATTTGACCACTCTCTGTACCTCATATAAATAGAATCATACAATATGTGTCATATTTTGACTGTCTTATTTCACCCAGCACAGTATCTTCAGGGTTCATCTATGTTACAGCGTGTGTCAGAATTTCCTTTATTTTTGAGGCTGACTAATATTCCATTCTATGTACATATGACATTTTGTTTATCCATTCAACAGCCAATGGACGCTTGGTTGCTTCCACCTTTTGACGGTTGTGACTAATGCTGCTGGGAACATGGGTGTACAAGTCATGCAGTCCAGGCCCCACTTTCAGTTCTTTTGGGTATATATCCAGGAGTGGAATTGCTGGAACATATGGTGGCAATACTTTATGAGGTCGAATTCGAAACCACGACTCCTGAAGCAGGCATGAGAACATTCTCACATGGATGTTCAGGGCCTTTTCATGGGAAAGATAAAGGACTTCTGCCCACTGGACAGGGATTTGTGTCTTTGGTATCAAGGAGACTGTGGCTTTTATGTCTAATGCTTAATCACCTGATGATGATTAAAGGCATTTGTAGACATCATATTTTTCATGCTGCTATTTATTATTTACTGACTTTGAGATCATTATACCCATTAGTTTTCAGACGCCACTGATAACTTGGTGGATGTTCCCATTCTTATTTTTCAAAAAGGAATGCCTCACGCTAAAGTACTAAGTGAATATTTGTACTTGCATTAAAAGTTAAACACAGAAAAAGGAAATAATTTAATACCTAATTAACAATAGAAAAACTAGAATGTGTTGGCCTTTGGATTTCCTAGCCAACTCACCATTAACTTGCAGGCTACCACTGTCTTCCTTCAGCTTGTAATATGTCACACATGAGACGTGTGTGCATGAATTAAAGGCTCTCACTTGGAGAGGGACTTAAAGTTCAACCTAGTTCTAGCTCAACCACCCATCCTACAATATTTCCATCATGCACTTCCAGCCTGCACTTGAATAACCCCCCTAACAGGCCACTCACTACACCCCATTGGCATTGCACTTTGAACAGCTCTGACTCTTAGAAAATGATTCCTTAAGCTGAGTTGATAACTGCTTCTTTGTACTTAGAGACCTACGGTACAAATTAAACTTCTCACATTTTCTTGGTCACTAAGAATGAGACATATCAGAATAACTTTATTTCATTTAGTAGAGTAGACAGGTGTGGAAAATATGGCAGCAACTATCTAGACTTTAATAGGCATTTGACCGATTAACAGTGAGAGGTCCTGTGGACCAGATAGAGAAATGTGTGCTGGATGGAAGGATAATTATTGGTTAAGTTTGTAAGTGGCCGAATGTCTGAACCCACAAGATGCGGATTGCTGAACTGAGGTCCTTCTAAAGGGAGGTTTTTAAATAGCCTGGTGGGAAGAAACCTCAAGGAAGGCATGAGACCTGTCTTCCACTCTTAGTGAACCCTCAACTGGTATTTGGTGGACAATGTTTACTCATCTAAACCATACAAAATACTCTATTAAGATTAATGCCAATGACCATTTATTCACTCAACAAATCTTTGTTGAGCACCTACTGTATGCCCGATACTATTGTAGAAATGACATAAAGCAGTAAATAAAACAGACCGAATACCTCTGTCCTTATGGAGCTTACATTCTCTTGGAACAGAGTAAGAGTAGAATGCCCATCTCAGCAAGAAAGTGACATTTAATCAAAGACTTAAAGGAGGGAAGGGAGAGAGGAGACCTTTGAGGCAGAGGAAACACAGTACCAGTGCAACACCCCTGAGGCAAGAACCGTGA